GAATTATTGGCCTTAGATAATAAATCGTGTCTTGATTTTTACTTGGAATAATTGCCCTAGTTTTACTAATTATTTTTTGATTTTGGAAGTTTTCATTCTTCAATATGGAAAGATTTTTGAAAAGAAAAGCACCGCCTGAACCTAGTCGTGGAGAATCCTCAAGTGAAAATGACCCCACCAGTATTCACAACCTAGCTCTGCTCCTTCAATGCCAAAGCGAAGCGAACTTGTAAGGAATGAGGATCGAATCTGATTGAATGCTTCAATTGATGCTCGTAGATTCTTCTTGAATAATGCATTACCAATTCGTGGTGGTGATGAGTCAGAATTCCTGTTTTATTATTCATCACCATCTTATGGTCATGATGGATCGGGAAAGCCTCTTTGTAAAGGACTTCTCTTGGAAGCATTAAACTTAATTGGATTACAAAATACTCCCTTGAACAATCGATTTACGCCTTCGGGTATGCACCGTATGCAGAAAAGTGTTGCTTTTTGCTTTGCGGAAGAAGTACTGAAATCCATTTCTGAAGATATTGGTGATGATGTGTTTGCCTTGTTAGTTGACGAGTCTTGTGAAGTTTCTATATGGAAACAAATTGCTGTGGTTTTGCGATACATTGGTCCACGTGGATTTGTTAAGGAGATATTTGTTGGTTTTGCTCTGATCATGGAGGCATCTGTTTCAGAACTTGAATGTGCCATTTATTTTCTGTTTGCTAAACTCAAATTGAGTTTGAAACAGGTAAAAGCTTATTGTTATATACTTATCTCATATTTTACCTTTTTCTGCATTATCTTAAATCTCTCATTGGATCTTTGAAACAGGTAAGAGGTCAAGGTTATGGCGGAACATGCAATATGCATGGTGAGTTCAATGGATTGAAAGCTTTGGTCTTGAGAGAGAATAGTTCAACATATTATGTACATTGTTTTGCTCAACAACTTCAGTTGGTGGTTGTGGCGGTTGCAGAAAACCACTTGAGGTGTTGGGAACTTCTTTGATATGCTAGCCATGGTGATTAGGGCTGTAAACGAACCGAACGTTCAGCGAACCGTTCGTGAACCGTTCGGCGGGAAGTTCGTTTATGTTCGTTTATTTAATAAATGAACGAACATGAACAAATTTTTTTGTTCGTTTAGTTAAATGAACGAACATGAACAAGAGCCTCGTTCGTTCATTTATGTTCGTGAACGTTCGTTCATTTACCGTTCGTTTACGTTCGTTTATATTCGTTCGTTTATGTTCGTTTATATATTAAATTTAATATATAATCTTTTATTTATTTACTTTGAATTCACATAATATTTATTTATGTTTGTTTAACCCGTTCGTTTATGTTCGTTTAGCTCGTTCGTTTATGTTCGTTCGTTTACGTTCGTTTAGCATGTTAACGAACGAACATAAACGAACACGAACACACCTGATTTCTAAACGAACGAACACGAACACAAATATTTTCGTTTGTTTACCGTTCGTGTTCGTTCGTTTGTTCGGTTAAGTTAAACGAACGAACATGAACAAGCCTTCGTTCGTGTTCGTTCGGTTCGTTTACAGCCCTAATGGTGATGTCGTTTGGTAAACACTTCTTGCAAACGAAAATATATGCTTCCAGAATGTTAGAAAAAGAGAGTGCAAGAAGTAATTGGTAAGATTGATACTAGAAAAGGGTTGAACCAAAAGCCTTCTCTTATACGATCTGAAGATGCATGATAGGGTTCTCATTACGAAACAATTTTGAGTTTGATTGTTTTATTTCCCGAGGTTCTTGAGGTGCTTGAGTATGTTGAAAAGGAAGGCTATAATACTTCTAGCCGACATCAAGAAGTTGATATCAGCACTTGACGTTGCACATTTTAGGTCTAACAAGTTTATTGTCACGAGCTATTCAAAGAAAAGGGCAAGATATCTTGGAAGCGGTTTCATTGGTAGAAGGAACGAAACGTCAATTGCAAAGGCTTAGAGAAACTGGGTTTGATCTACTTTTGTAGGAAACCTATTCTTTTTGTGAAACACATGATGTTGAAAAGTTGGACATGACGGAAGATTATGATAATACAAGAAATCGAATGCAACAGACCAACATTACCAATCGGCATGATTATGAGTATGATATATTCAACACTGTTGTGGATCTGCAAATACAAGAGTTTGGTGATCACTTTAGTGAGGTAAGCACCGAATTGCTTAAAAGTATGGCAGCTTTGAGTCTGTGTGATTCTTTTCCTCAGTTTAATGCATCAAACTTATTGACGTTGAAAGAGTTGTATCAAGATGATTTTAATCAAATGGAAAGGATGACTCTTAAGCATTAACGTGCTAGCTACTATGACGATATGCATCAAGATGAAAGATTTGCCAAACTTGAATGGTATCATCGACCTTGCTAGATAGTTGGTTGAAATAAGAAAGCACCTTTCTTATCCTTTAGTCTATCGATTATTAAATCTCCGTGGCCACAAGGGGATTTTTATTCTTCCTTGGATTCGAACCTAAAACCTTCAGACACTTTTGACCTTTGGATCTCAAGCTCAAACCAATCGGACACCATCCTTGTGGTTATTGTTTGGATGTTTTTAGTGTAATTCATATATGTTTTGGCAATTGATTATGCTATGGTGGATTTGTTTGTTATGTCGAGGTTATGATGTAGTTGCTGGCTATTTATTTATAGTATGATATAGTTGCATTGTAGGTGTCAAGAAAAATAAACTAAATAAATAAATTGATCTGTGTTTTTTGTAATTGTGAGTGTTCGAACTAGTTTTTTGTATAACTCAACTGATTCCATGAGACCTTCGAGATAACAACTTGATGTGTTGATAGTTGGCAAAGTTAAAAGAAAAGGAGAACAAAAATACATGGTATAACTTTATTTCGAATGTAAAATAGTAGTTATCTTATTGTATTTGTTACTTTGAGGTTAAAATGAGAACTTAACATATTTTTTTTGGAAGATATAATATAGATATATACGACAAATAGAATAAATAAACTCACACATTCCCCTCACATTTGTTGAAGTTTGAATCCCTTACATGCTAGGAGGCCACATACTCACATACCGCTAGACCAAAGGCTCTTTGGTTACCGGATTTCGATGCTCAAAAATCATACTTGAGTATCAGAGCATCCGCAATGATGGAAATTCTAAGAACTTCACGTTCCATATTTTTTTCATGTCACATCAACAAAACAAGAACTTTAATAAAACTCTACAACGGAGGTTCTTATAAAACCTCACTTTTCATTTTTATTCATGAAATTATATATATATATATATATATATATATATATATATATATATATATATATATTATAAAATTATTAAAATTTCATTTTTCTATATATAGGACCGGGATTAAAATTTGGAGATTGAACAATATTTGGAAAATTTTGAGGACATTGTGGAATGTAGGAAAAAGATAAAACAAATTAATAAATGTATTTTATTAAAAATTAATTTATATTTTATTGTATTTATTTTACTTACATGTTTGACAGATTTATTAAAACAAAATAAAATAGTTTAAAAAACAATAAAATATGATGAAAAACAATAATAAAAAGGGAATATAGACAAGAACTTGGATTTTTATTTAAAACAAATGCAATTTTATTAAAACATGTGATTGGACAAAAATATTTGTTCCACAACGAAAGTTCTTATAGAAATCCCAATAGAAACCTCAATAAGAACCTCCATTTTTGGATGCTCTTACGAATGATGCTCAAAACCAACTCATAAACAAAACTATAATTTTGGAATCATCATTTTTATTCCCGTTTCCATTTCAGTATAATATCAAATCAAAATCATAATATTAAATAATTTGCTTTATATTCAATTAATTTGTGATCACATATAAGTTCCGAGTTTAGATTTATATTAGGGTTTATATAAGAGTTTACGTACCTCTATTCAAAAGGTCGAAAAACTAACCTAACCAAACCAAACCAAACCAAACCAAACCAAACCAAACGAACTCATATATATCCCACTCTGTAAAGATAGGATGTAGAAAGACCTTTACCAGTGTCCAAAAGGTAGAAAGACCTTTATCCAACCGAACAAAACGAACTCAATATATCCCATCTAGAAGTAGGGTCTAGGAGGGGCAGGATGTAAGCAAACCTTACATCAACCACTAGGATCGAGAAGCTATTTCCATAGCGACAAAAGATAGAAAGACCGTTCTCATGGAAAACCTGACCGTTCTAGATCTACATTCTTAGAAACATCCTAAAGGGGTTTTCGAACCGACATGAACACTTTCAAAACCCATTCTTGCAACCTAAAATCTCTATCAATGGTAGCTTACATACCGAAATACCTCTCTCAGAAAACGACCATGTTTCCTAAAATGGCAATTCTAACCAAAACCTTAACACAAGATGACCAAACCTACAAGCTATAACCTTAGTTATGTCCAAAGAACATCATAGGTCCCAATTTCCATAAAAAGAAAGAACATCAATGAGCCAACAAACATGAATCTAGGATTTCACACAAGTCAATAATCAAGAAATCTAACAAGAAATCACAAAAACTCAAACTTGAATCAAGAAATTTAACCACTTGAATCAAGAAATTTAACCACTTGAATCAAGAAATCTAACAAGAAATCACAAAACTCAAACTCGAATCAAGAAATTTAACCACTTGAATCAAGAAATCTAACAAGAAATCACAAAACTGAAACTTGAATCAAGAAATCTAACAAGAACTTACAAAACTCAAACTTGAATCAAGAAACCCAACACTTGAATCAAGAAATCACAAAACTCTAGCTTGAATCAAGAAATCTAACAAGAAATCACAAAACTCAAACTTGAAATCAAGAAATCTAACAAGAAATCCAACACCCGAATCAAGAAATCTAACAAGAAATCACAAAACTCTAGCTTGAATCAAGAAATCTAACAAGAAAAACTCAAACTTGAATCAAGAAATCTAACAAGAAACCACAAGAACTCTAGAATCAAGAAAATCTCATCATAACATTGAAACTATTGTGTTCTATTTATTTGAATTCCATAAAATGATACAAAAGCCCACCAATGAAAGCAAATTTGCTCTATTAGTCCTGAAATCCCTACAATAATAATGCTACAACAATTACATTCCCATGAATCAAGATCTTTCTTGAGTTCCTTTTGGTACAAATCAAAGCCCCCCTGAAAACCACAAAAGAGTGAAGAAAAGAAAAGCAAAAGAAAATCTTGATCTTCGTGGGATATCGCTCTTTTTCGACTTCCTTATACGAATAGTCGAAAACAAGATAACATAACAATCATGTGAATATCAAAACGAATAAGGATTCGAGAATAAGTTTACCACTTGGAGCCCCAGAACTTGCCACCGCAGCCGTGTTAACTCAGCAGAGTCGTGACTCAGTGATCACTCTTCTTTCCCGAACCATAGTAACTCACGTACCACCTCACGAATTTCTTCAACCCCATTTGAAGATCCGTCGTCGGCTTGTACCCAAACTCCCGTTGCGCGAAACTAATGTTCGCGTGCGTAAAGGGCACGTCCCCATTTCTTGGCAACTTCATCACACGTCTTTTCGCTTTCACCTTCAACAGTTTCTCCAAAATGCTAACGAGATCCGATACCGGAACCGGCGACGTATTCCCCAAATTAAAAACCCTCAATTGCGCCGGCCGTTTCTTCTTTCCGCCACTTCCGGTACTCTTTTCCGCGGTATCTAAAGCACCCAAACAACCCTTTACAATATCATCGATATACGTAAAATCCCGAGCCACCGTTCCGTGATTCGCCGATTCGAAAATGGGAATCGCTTTTCCTTTCAAGATATCGCGAGTAAAGAAGAAATAAGCCATATCCGGCCTTCCCCAAGGTCCATAAACAGTAAAGAACCGTAAACCCGTTAACGAAAGACCGTAAATATGATTATAAGTATGCGCGATTTCTTCGCCAGCCTTCTTCGTGGCGGCATAAAGACTCGCAGGTTGATCGGTTCGATCCTTTTCGGAAAAGGGAACTTTGGTATTCAATCCATAAACAGAACTAGAAGAAGCCCAAACAATTGCAGGCTGTGGATTTGCACTTTTACAAACTTCTAGAAGATTCACGAAGCCAGCAACGTTGCTATGAATATAAGAATTTGGGTTTTCCATGGCGTATCGAACACCAGCTTGAGCTGCTAAATGCATAACGTGAGTAAAAGGGATTACCTCAAAGAGTTTCTTGAGCAATGCGACGTCGTTTATATCTCCTTCCACGATATAGATCCCACTTCTTTCGAGTAAAGCTTGACGAGCTCTTTTCAGATATGGATCATAGTAATCGTTGAAATTATCAAGCCCTAAAACGCCGTCGCCACGGCGTTTCAGGGAGGCGCTGACGTGGGTTCCGACGAAACCGGCTGCGCCGGTGACCAAGACGGAAAACCCGGTTTTCGAACGGACCTTGGCGGATGATCTGACCCGTTTTTCCCAAGCGGGTCCGCCCCAAGAACTGGTTTTTAGGGATCTGCGAGAGAGATCTGAAGGGGTTGTGGAGATTGATGAGTATGGCGATGATGACGGTGGAGATTTGAAGAAGAAAATGAAGATTAATGCCAAGAACACAAAACTCCAAAATGTGAGCTTTGCTAAATACGAATAATGCCATCTGAATCTATGACTGTATGGGGATTTTTCGATCTTGAATTTCCCAGGTGTTGATGGGATATTATCCAGATGAGAAGACTTCATGGTTTTTCTTTTTGATCTTTTTCAAGAAATCTTGAAAATGGAAAACACCCAAAACTCTTTTCACCTGATTTCTTCAAGAAAATCTTGAAAAAACGAAAAACACCCAACTCTTTTTCGCCTGATTTCTTCAAGAAAATCTTGAAATTGGTCTTCAAATATCTTCAAGAAACCTGATGATGAAGGGAATTGGTTCTTCTTCTTCTGATGATGATGGTGATGGTGGTGTTCTTCCCCTCCAAAAACTTTCAACTCTTTTCCCTTTTGTTTGATGATGGAATCTTGGGGTTTCTTGATGAATTGATTGTTTGCTTTTTATGGGTTTTTGCAAAAGAAATGTGTGATTGGGGTTTGAAGTAGGAGATATAAAAAGGTGGACTCATCAAAATCAAGAAAAGCAATAGTAATAGTCAAAGGGTTAATCTTCCTCTCTGTAAATTTGATATCAAATTGGGGGAGGAGGAGATAAGAAGCAAAATTAGGGTTTTCACCACCATTTTCATTTTTTATTTTTGGGGTTTTCTTTTTGTTCCTTTTTCTAAATGAATGGATAATGAAAAACAAATTTAAGATTCATTATTGGGAGGTGTGATTTTTGGGGGTTTGATTGGTCCATGAAAACTCAGAGGCCTCCATTTTGGTGATTGTTTATTTGGGGATTTGGGAGATTTTGAGGCAAATTATGTGGAGGGTTCATAGGTTTTACACCATTCAAATGTGTTTAAGATCCATGGGTGGATTCAAACCTTTGATTTCCAATCATCCATTTCTTGTTTCTTTTTCCAAATTTCACTTGCATAAATGATTTATTAAAACATGTTAAAAAATACACTGTTTTGTAATAACCAGTTAATAAAAAAGTAATTTAATCATTTTTATAATTATTTAGAACTGACAGATCTAAATCCCACTGATTCCAAATCTTCAGTGAAATCCAAACCTCTCAAAACCGTTCTCATAACCTAAACACTCCCTAAGTGAATGGAAAGGGGTAGTGGTTTTCATCAAACAACAACCGTCTGTATCATATTTTTTTGATAGAGAGGGGGGAGACCCCTCTAATCAAGAAAAAACACTAAAAGCAAGCCAAATACGTGCTCGGGTGGGGGCGAACCACATCCATCAGAAAAACCAAGGCTCCCCGAGGGGAAAGAAAGGAAGAGAAGAGGGGGAAAAAGAGAGATAGAAAAAGAAACCAACCACAAAGGTAGGGTCCAGCCAAGCCAAGACTGGAAAACAACGGGGGAACTGTCTGTATCATATTAAGTTGTATGGTTTTGGATTTTTGTGGTACGGTACGTGGTTTGTATTTTTAAGCCACCCTATATGGTACGTTTTGTGATTTAAGACGTATGTGATTTGGTTTATGATTTTGCCTTTAAACATTCACGAACACCTCTCGCAAAGAAGATGAAAATGGGAATGGGAATTAGTTTCATTTCCCCGGGTTTGTCGAGTAACGATACATTACCTAGTCGCTAGTAATGATCCACTTAGTTATATCAACCTAGACACTGTTAATAAATTATACTGTTATGGGCGTTGTGCGTTGCGTCGTAACGATAATTCATCATCTTCTCCTATATAATTTTTTTTTTACACAACATGTTTCAACCTAAATGAGCCAATTATATACTTTTAAACGAATATTTGTTTTGGAAAAAGATGGTGGTTAAAATTTACATTTAACCAACCCAATAATTTCATATTTGAAAACCACAAGGGTTAGTGATATAGTGGAATATCTCATTTGTTCAGAGTTCTATTCCAGGCGTACACAATAATTATGTCTACTGATTTTATCAGGATTGATTTCTGGCAATCACAATTGGTCGGGATTAATCCAGACATAGCCACGGATACCCTTTCAAAAAAAAAAAAAACCTCATTTCAGTTCATCATCTCTCCTTTAAATATACTCACTAACATTTGTCAAATAATTTTCTCACCAAGATTTGAGAAATTCTCAGATCACACAGTATCACATCATTCACGCTTGATTGTTTCTTTAATATATATATATATATATATATTATATATATATATATATATATTGTTTGATTTTCGTTATCTACCCCTATTACACCTACCGAAACACTGCCCCCCTAACGTACAAAAGCGAATATGATACATATTACTTTGGTGAATACAACATACACTTATCGAAACAAAGATGATTTGAAACGAAATGCATATCTATGATCATGTGATGGCAACATAATTGGGAGAAAACGACAAAGATGATCAGGTAATGACTTTGTTTTAATGTCATTTATAATCAGATTGTCATTTTTTTTGGAGGATAAATAAATTTATTTATTAAAATTACAAATTTACATTTTCAAAATAATTTCTAAACAAGTAAAGATGAAAAATATAGATATAAACTTAAAAAAAATAATTTTTTAAATTCGATTTAAAATCATAAAAAAATGTTTTTAAAATTTTATCTCATTAAATATATTAGGTATTTTACTATTTTAAAAACATTTTTAAATTATAAGTTAAATGAAATAAATTTTAAATAGGTTTTGTTTTAAATATTTTTAATAGGTTTTAAAATCATTAAATATATTTAATTAAATTCCTAGAAAATGTTGAAAATATTAAAATAGTATAAATTAATTTTTTTTAACCGACAGAACACCAAAAATAGGAAAACGCGTCAGAATTTGGAATTATTGTAAATTGTGGGCGAGATCTATTAGCGGCCATGGTTTAGATTTATGTTTTTATTAATAAATAATTATTAGAGTTAAAATGCAAATTTGGTATCTCTTGTTTATATTACATATATCGTTTAGCAAAAATAAGTAAACTTATAAGTTGGTTTATTTTTTGGATACACATTTGGATGCATATAAACTAACTTTTAAACTAGCTTATGGAAACGCTATTTGTAATAGCGTTTTGATAGCTTATTGTCGCTTTTTTTATTTACAACACTTATTAATATTAATTATAAATAAATATTAATAAGTTTTAAATATTACTAATATTAATAAATAATAATTAATATAAACTGAACACTGTTTATTAATTATTTTTAATTGTACATTAATATT